AAAAAAAAAAAAGAAGAAGAAAAGAAATAACGAGTGACTTGGGTTTCCCCCCCTTTATCTTCTTTTCTAAAAGTTTATTTTAAAACAAGAGGGCAGAGGGTGGTATAGGGAGAAAAATGAATTGCGTTACCCTGAAAGAGGCAGTTTCAGGGAGGTTGGCGGGGATAGATTTTTTTTTTTAATATATATATCATTTTATAGGATTTGTTTTGCTTCTGTCTCTCTCTCTCTCTCTCTCTCTCATTTCACAGGGCTCTAGCCCTCACTATCTCCTGTGGCGGGCTCAACAGGGCAGTCCTCGCTCGTGAAAGAAAAAGCGTGCGAGTCACAGGACCGTGAGAGCGTGAGAGCCTGCCCACCCGCCCGCCACCCTGGCTCCCTGCCCTCACCCCCTGTGGCCACCATCACGCTCTCGCCAGACAAAAAGAAAAACCAAACAACAGAACAGCCTCAAACAGAACAAAATGGGAAAAAAGGAAGAAAAAAAAAAAAAGATTTTCACAGATGAAGAAGTTCACATTCATTCGATTCATTGAGCCTGCGGAGAGGGGAGAGATAGGAACGGGTCACTTCAGAGGGGGCGGACATGTGTCCTGAGGAAAGGCCATGTGCTCGCTTGCTTGCTGCCTGAGGGAGGATGGCGGAGGAGGGCCAGACAGAGAGAGAGAGAGAAGCAGAGGCAGAGTGGGAGGGGGATGGAGGGGAGGGCGTCTCCCGGCGCGTCATAACATCAACATTTCTGAGCTCACGGAGTCCCCACAACACCCCTGTGAGGTAGGTTGGAAGGTGGCAACGATCCGTCATGCCCACTTCACAGACAAGCCCGGGACACAGCAGTGGGTAGGCAGCCTCCCCACACCCTGCCCGGCGAGCCAGCACTGGCCCCACGCCGGCATCACCTGCCACAGTCACTTGGACACAGGGGAGGGGACCATGGGTCTAAAACTCCAAGAAGCAAAGGAACGAAACCCAAAAAGTAACGCAGAGAGGAAAACAAACTTTGTCTTTTCCCGAGCAGCCAGGTGAGGAGCAAGTTGGCGGCCCGACCAGCAGCCAGCAGCCCCTTGCGGCCTGCTGCCCCTCCCCCCCACTACCCACCAGTTCCAGAGTCCCGCCATGTCTTTCGGGCGTGCCCCCCACGTCGTGACAGCGTCACAGGAACAAGCAGGCTGGTGGCGGAGGCCTCTCCTTGAGCCTCTGGACCCAGCGAGCGCACCCCCGGCTGGCGGGGGCTCCCGGAGACCTCAGCCTGTGGCAGGCATCAGGGACACACCCCGCAGGGAAAGGGGTTGCCGGCACTGCCCACTAAAGCTGGGTGGACGGTGGCCGGGGGCTGGAAGGAGAAAGGAGGAGGAGGAGGGTGGCAGTTCCCACTTGCCTGCTGCTGTCCCTGCTGTGCGGGTGGCGGTTGGGGGCCGCCGGGCCCAGGGGTTTGTCCGTAGTAAGCTGCCTGCTGCCGATAATACTCAGCCCAGGCGGCGCTGTAGTCTGGCTGGGAGCCGGGGGGTGCACCTGGACCACCTCCAGTGGCCACTTGGGCTGTGAAGAGAAAATACAGTGAGGGGAGGGGTCGGGGGGTCCACCCGAAGCCCCCCGACCTCTCTGGCACCTGCTCTCACCTTGCTTCTTGTAGTATTCCTCCCAGGCCTTCGTGTAATCTTGCTGTGGGGGGGCTCCAGGCTGCTGTGGCTGCTGGCCTATGGGGGGCCAGGGTACCCACAAGGTAAGAGGTAGCTCAGGGGTGGCAGCATGCTCTCACTCTCCCCACTGCCACCACGGCGCTGTGCACTCACCCATCTTCTTGTAATACTCTTCCCAGGCCTTGGTGTAGTCCGACTGGCCAGTGGGTGGAGGCTGTGGGGGCTCACCCTGGGTTGGGGGGGCTGCGGGGGCCGGTGCGGGGCCCGGCACAGGGCCGGGGGGCTGCTGGTAGTAGTGGGAGTAGTAGGCGGCCCAGGCTGCATTGGGGTCAGCTGCGGCGGCTGCAGCTTTGTCTGAGGGAGGAAGGGGACCAGGCTCAGGGGTGAGGCAGCCAGACACTCGGCCCCACCCCCACCCCAGGGGCCAGCTACTTACTGGGGTCATGAGGGGCAGGCGGTTGCCACTGGGGGTATGTGTTACCCCACCCCTGAGGTGGGTATTGATGAGGAGGGGGGCCGCCCGCACTGCAGGATGAAAGGGGAGACACAAGTTAAGGTGCATTTCTGGATGGGGTTGCTGTCTAGGGATGGGTGGTTGGTGAGAAGGGGGTGTGAGGCCAGGCCCACCTCAAGACCCAACACCTCACTGCCCCAGTGGCTGAAAGGCAGAGACTAGGAATGCCAAGTGCAGGGCCATGCAGACTCATGCACATGAACAAGTACACGGTATCAGCACCTATAGCCACAGCAAACGCCCACAGGTTAGAAGTAGAGTTTATCCTGGGGGGCTGCAGAAAAAAGGGCTAGCTTCTTGAAAAACAAACCAACCTGCCACAGCAATCTTCCTGAAGACCGTTCCACCAACCCTCAGGGGCAGGGTGCCTCAGGAGTGGATGCACAGTCCGGAGGACCCCAGATCTGGCACTCTGGGGAGCGGTGGCCCAGGGTGGGACAAGGACAGCATTCACTAAGAGACAGCTAGCAGGAATACTCACTGTGGGGGTGCCCCTGGTGGGCCTTGATTGAAGGGCCCGGGGTTGAAGGGTCCCATTGGGCCGGCAGGACCGGGTCCTCCAGGACCAGGACCAACTGGACAGAGAGGACCCTACAGGAAGGAGCACAGGCCAGAGGTTAGTGGGGTAGGGCAAGTGGCGGCAGTCCCCCAACCCCAGGGTCCCTCTTGGCCCACCTCAATCTTCTCTTCAATGAGCTGCTTGGCATGGTCAATCTGCTGGGGTGAGCCCCGGATGATGAACAGCTTGAAGTTGGGGTCCCCATTGGGTGGCAGCTGCCGAGAGATCTCCACAAAAGCGCCTGTCTGCTGATTTATGGCTTTCACATTCTCACCACCTGGGGGTGGGGTGGGGTTGTAAAAAGGCACAGCGGGTGGTGGCCAAGGAGGGGATGTAGGGGGGATACTCACCTCGGCCGATGACCAGCCCACACTTGTGAGTAGGGATTGAGAAGGTCATCTCTCCACCTGGGGGTCCCCAGTTGCCTTGGCCTCTTCCTCGGCCCCGGCCCCCTGGGGGCATGCCTGGGCCGCCGGGGGGCCCTGGAGGACCACTCTGCAAGATTGGAGGGTCAGGGTGAGCCTAGATGTGATCCCGCGAGGCCAGGCCAGCCTAGGGCTGGGGGGAGGGGGACACCTACCCGGAGACTCTGGAGGAGATCGTTGATAATGCGTGCTGCGTGCTCACACCTGTCAGGGGGGCCCATGATGTGCGCCACCTTCTCAGGCCCCGTCCCGTCATCTGTGAGTAGCAAAGAAAGCCTCACCCACTGTCCTGCCTCACTTCCCCCAGACTTCTCACAGGGGCAAGCCCAGGGGCAGTGGGAAGCCCAAGTCTCTGAAGATGGAATTTGGGGTGTGGAAGGGGGTAGGCATAACAGGTTCCCAGGAGGACAGACTGACGAGGTGAGCACTGACCTTGTTTGAACTGTATCCGCACCCCAGCGTCATTCTGGATCTTCTTGATCATCTCCCCGCTCCGGCCAATGACCACCCCAACCGAGTGTCTAGGTACTGGCACCTGCAGGGAGGCGAGGGTGAGAAAGCCAGCTCCGTGTCTCCCTCTGCTGCCCGCTGCCCACTCTGGGAAGGCCCACACTCACATCAATGCCGCCACCGATGCGTGACCCGTACTCATTCCGGTCCCCAAAGCCGCCCTGGTCACGCTCCCGCAGAATGTCCATCACCATCTCACAGGCTTGCTGTGGACAGACGGGGCATGGTCCTCAGGGGGCGTGGTCCCTACAGCCTCAGGCCTGTGCACCACCCCCAGCGTGGGCTCACCTGCACTTTGTAGGGGTCCCCGATGATGCGCAGGGGCTTGTCCACATTGGTGTTCTGGGAGCCATCCTGGATGAGGATCATCTTGACCCCAGCTCGCTCCTGGGAAGCCAGGGGAAGGTGAGCGCTGGCAGCCTCTGGGATTAGGGGAGGCTCCTGGGGAGCAGCCCGGCCACCTCACCTGCAGCTGCTTGATGGTCTCCCCGCCTTTGCCAATGACCAGGCCGGCCTTGCCTGCAGGGATCATGATCTCCTGCACGGTGCCGTTCTGGCCCCCATTGGAGTTGTCGTGGAACTGCCCAGGGGGGCCCCCTCGGCCTCGAGACACAATGTCATCCAGCATCATCTTAGCTTTCCTGCAAGGAGGAGGAGGAAGCGCTCGGGGAGGGTAGGGTCCTCCGGGCCCACCCAGCTCAGAGGGAAGCAAGCATCCCAGGGAGAGCCCAACAAGGAAGGAGAAAAGGCACACGTGTCTCACGAAAGGAACAGGCAAGGAGGCTTACTGGACAGACTCGGGTGCTCCTGTGAGGGACACGCTGCGCTCTGGAAGGCCACCACTGTCTGCAAAGAAGGGGAGCCAGGGTCAGCGTCCTCCCTGGGAACACCTCAGAGACCCTGCCCACCTCAGCTCCTGGCAGCTGCCCCAGGGGAGGCCAAGAGCAGACTGCTTACAACTGCATGAGGACAGGGCTCTGAGGGACCCACAGCCCCATAGACAGCGAGTCACACCCTCCCATGGGCACCAGGAGCTCAGAGACGGGGAGGCATAAACTGGAGGAACTGGCCACCAGGATGAGTTGGCACTAAAGCCCAAGCCTGGTTGCACCACAGCTGCTGACCCCCAGGCTCAGGGTAGTCACCGAAGTCTCCTGCAGAGCCCATACCCTCCCTTCTCCCGCCTGCTGCTCACCAACGACCTCCACCAGGGCACACCTGGGATCACCCCCTCCCCCCTCCTCCAAGAGTGGTCTTCAGGCTCCCTGGTTGATACATGAGCTCCTCCATCCCCACTTGGCTGCCGTACCTGGAGAGATCTGGACCTTGCAGCCTGAGTCCTGCTGGATTTTGTTTATCTGCTCACCTCCTCGGCCAATGACTTGAGGTGAAGAAGAAAGGGAGACTGAGGGTGGGGAACCTCGAGGGTCCCCAGTCCCACCCAGGGAAAAAACAGTCACTTCCTGAACACCCTTCCTCCCAGGTCAGCCAAGGGACACCCAGAACAGAAACAGGAGGAGCCCTTTCAGAGATTAGGCTCCTGGGATGTGGGCCCCAGGAGACAATGGTATCTACCCCAAGGTGACAGGGACAGGCCACTGCCTGACACTTACTCAGTCCTACCATGCCGTCAGGGACCCTGTACTCTTCTGTCATCGAAGTCCTATAGGGAGACACCTTGGTCAGTTTGGGGCTGGGGGTAGGGACAGAAGCTGGCTCTGGAGGGTTTCTGGGACAGAGGTTCAGCCCTCACCTAGGGAGGATTACCCCAGAACCCTGACATCACCCTTCACTTCAAACAACAAAGAGCCAGGCCTCTGCAGAGGCTCTGTGTCCACGGCAGGACACCTGTCACTGGAGGCCTAGTTTTTCCCGTTTGTGCCTGAGAGGCAACCTGCCAACTCATTAACAGGACAGATCAGTCTCCCACATCCTCATTTGTCTCCTACATCATGCTCTTCAACAACCTTTGCCCACTAGACCAAAAAGGAACACTCCAGTCAGAGTTGGTTCCGACTCATAGCAACACTACAGGAAGGGGTAGAACTGTCCCGGTAGGTTTCCGAGGCAGTACATCTTCGAGGAAACAGACAACTCCATCTTTATCGAAGCAACTGGTGGATTCCGACTGGTGACCTTATGGTGAGCAGCCCAATGTGAGGCCCACGATGCCCCCCAGGGCTATATTGACCTGTTGGAGAACCCCCTTGTAAGGGACGTTAGTCACCTGAGCCTAAGCGGCACCACAAAAAGGCTAGAGAAGTCTCCAGGCTCCACCAGCGCACAGAGAACGAGCATGTGCGGAAGACAGTGGGAGCGGAGTTAACACCCACCCCATGACGAGACCTCAGGACTCAGGGTTGGTCCTCTGGGGCTCTATGCAGAGAACCCCTGCCATTGCCAGACAAGACCCCAACATACCTTGGAGGTGGGTGGACGGGCCCGAGTTGAGAGCTCATTGCTGCAAAGAGAAAGTCAAAGGAAGGTTGGCCAGGCCTCTTGCAGGGAACACCAATGTGGTCCAGCCCCTAGAGCCCCTCATCTCCACAATGTGCCTGGTTCCAGGGTTATCAAGACCTGGGCCCCCCAAAAGGTGAGCTGCGGCCTGCTCCATGTGCTTTTCTCCCAGCCAGGAAGCTTCAGGCCCACGCAACCCCTTGGACTTACAGTCTCCCTGGGCGGCCAGCTTCTTGCTCTCAGGTTGGTCTGGAAAGAGAGAAA